CTTTTTCTCCATTCCGGCAGCAATCAGGCTGCTATTGTTCCAGGACTCTTTCACAGCAAGGAAAGCATTACTAGCTATGTGCCGAGTCCATCCCAGAGAAAACACAGCCAAGGAAGACGTGTGGCAAACAGATGGCAGAGGAGATGCCGAGCGCTCAATCGGCGTGCGCAACTTTACGCCTGAACAAGATCGTTAGGTGGCCGTCTGGTTGCCGAATAAACACACCGTGCTTCTACAAACACAGGACTTGCACGCCACAGCTCCCAGCACATAGGATAATTAGAGTTCAAGGCTCCTCTGGATGCATGTGGGTGAAGGAAATGGGGCTTTCCCTGCACAAACCAAACATGAACTTTGTCTGTATCCCAAATACCTTGAAGGGAATGCAAAGGCTTTTCTATGGTTTTGATAGATGTACGTGTCATATGTGAATGGCATTATCCAATCAGTTTGTGTTAATGCTTAAAGAACCTTGTTTGTATGTATAGTTCAAATTACAGTAAGTAAAATCAAAAATCACTCTCTAAATAAAATTATATAACCACAATTCCCCACAGCACCATCAACACCTTTACCCCAAAAGATGTACAAAAATGAATAAACAGAAGATGCTATAAAATATGTCCTCAATAATAGATAAATCCGTGCAGTCCAAACCCTATAAGTCCAAAATTAGATCAAATCCTTCTCAAGTGATAATGTGTTCGAAAAAAATCTTTCAGAAACTTCCTAATATAATATTCCTCAAAAAAAGAAAAAATATCACACAGTGTATTATCTTTTAAATTTAAACAATTATAAATTATAGTGACTTCATTCCAGTGAATACCCAATCACATTAATAATCAGTGAAAAAGTGAACAAAAATAAAAAAACTGTGAATCCAAAACAGTGAAATAACAGAGCCCTTATGATTAAGTCGATGACGAAACGCGTCAAGAGGAAGTGACGTCAATAGGCACACGGGAACCGGAAGTTGACTGGCGGCCATTTTGGATGACGGAAAGACCATCTGATTCACCCTGGTCACTTCCTGGAGGACAGCAAAGCTGTAGTATGGTATTTCAAAGCGTTTTTAAAGCTGGCAAAATGTAAGCACCTTAATTAAAGGTCAATTTTATGATTTATCTTGGCGGTATTACACTATTTTGTCCCTTATATGCTTTATACTTATATGTTTGATGGGGACATATGGAGTCTCAAGGCTTTTGGATCCTGATAATATTATGAAGGCAGATTAAACTGGGTAAAGATCCACAGGAGGACCATCTCCCACCTATCTTTTTGAAAGATATAAAAAGCTTCTGTTTTTTGGAATATTGGTAAGGGTATGCATGCCTTACTGCATTTAGAAGTGTCACAGTGTTTGAGTATGAGCACTGAAGAGTGATTCACATTCACAGTGTTATTTCACTGTTTGGATTGACAGTTTTTGTTTTTTGTTCACTTTTTCACTGATTATTAATGTGATTGGGTATTCACTGGAATGAAGTCACTATAATTTTATAATTGTTTAAATTTAAAAGATAATACACTATATGATATTTTTTCTTTTTTTGAGGAATATTCCCAGGGAAGTTTCTGAAAGATTTTTTTTCGAACACATTATCACTTGAGAAGGATTTGATCTAATTTCAAATTACAGTAAGGGCAAATGTTTGTGGACCATCACACCTATAAGCATCACATTCCAACATCATGGGCAGAAATGTGAAGTGTCAGCCCTACCACCTTGAGGCTACAACTGCAGATTTGAAAGATTTAACATTTCTGCCCATTCAAAAGAGCATTTGTGAGGTCAGGAACTGAGATTGGGGAAGACCTGGCTCCCAGGTGGAGTTCCAATTCATCCAAAAGGTGTTCAGTAGGGTTGAGGTCATGGTTCTTTACAGGACACTTGAGTTCCTCCACGCCAAGCGCATCACACCAATGATTTCCAAAGGCAAATAGTCTATGTACTGCAGGTGCAGTTGCTCTAGATCTGAAAGGAAATTCTGAAATGAGGGGGAGCACTGCTCATTTCTATCATCCAATCAAGTGCATGCAAATTTGCTTTTTTAAAATTTTCCTTGCATGCAATTTGCGATTCTTTGCAAATTGAAGCTTTACCTCATTTACTCCTAGATTGTAAGCTCGAAAGAGCAGGGCCCTCAATCCCCTCATGTTTTGCATTGTATTATTCTGTCACATGTTCTGTCCCCCTTTGTAATGTACAGCGCTGAGCGAACTATTGGCGCTTTATAAATACTGTATAATAATAATAATAATTTACTAAATCCTGGAGCATCCTTGCAGTGTACAGTATATTTGCCTTTAAAAAAATCAACCGCCATGTCTTAACCTCCCTAGCGGTATCATGTTGTCAGTATTTCTGTGCTCAAGGTGGTACATTTTTTTGCATGGAAATATGTTGTTTTTTTATTGCAGGCCTGTAATTCTTAGGAATAACTCACTGAAATCTGTCCGAACAAGAGTCTAGTAAACATCCCGGGTATGATAAAATTTGAAACACAAAATCATAAATTATAATTTAATAATCATAAAAATAATAAATTTAATTCAATAATATAATCAAACCAAAATCACTGAAATTTGAAATATAGCGCCAAGTTCGCATATCACTGATCTTAGTCACAGAATCGTTTTCAGTGTCTGATGTTTCTCCCCCGAATCATTATCACTCAATTCTGCAAGTGGTTCTGATTTACTATCGCTGTTCTCTAGCTGATCTAAAACTGCTTTTGACCTAAAGGGACGCTTTTTGGACGCCATGGACTTTTCTAAGTTTCCAGGCAGAAAGAACAGTAAAAATGCAGGCAGGGCGCCGGACAAAGCACTCGGGACAAAATGTATGTGAAATGGAATACAGGAATGTTATACTATGTGATTTTAGTGTATTTAGTGAATGTCACTTTTTAGTATATTTAAATTTCCCGCCAGTTCTGTCCCCGTACATCCCGACGTCGCAGGGACCGGAACCCAGAAGACAGATGCCGGCATCGGCCGGAGGACATTGCCGGGGACACTGAAGGAGTGATATCGCGGGAGCGCAGGACAAGATAAGTGCAGAAGGGATCCCGCAGCAGCGCTGCAGTGTATTCCCGAGTGTAGCTCGGGGTTAACACTTGTGGTGCTGAAACTTTACCCCGAGCTACAATCGGGAATACCGCCAGGGAGGTTAATGGAGCTGGCTTTGTGCAGTTACACCGGAGCAGAAAAGCACCTTACCCAAATGGTTACCATAAGGTGGGAAGAGCACAATTATCTACAATGTCTTAGTACGTTGTAGGATTTACAGTATTCTTCACTTGAAACACCTGAACTCAATAACATGGATGAATGTCCACATGCGGTTACCTGTACAGTGTACGTGTCAACAAGAGGGCAGCCATATTTGCTCATTACATACTCAGCCTCTGTTCTTAGGAGGGGATATACAAATACCCAGGGATTTTTTTTTCAGCAGGAACGCGGGGAAATGCAGTTCCAGCACTGAATGTATTTAATGGCAGGGGGTGCTATTGATACTGGCTGCTGGGAGATCTGTTGTTGCTGAGAGCATATATTGTTGCTGGGGGGTGGGAAACATATGATCCTCAGGGGTCAATTGTTACTTCAAGGGATTTACTGTTGATGGAGGGGTCTATCATTGCTGCTAGAATGGGTTTATTGTTGCGGGGGGGGGGGGGTGTTTTGTTGCAGGGAATCCATTGTTGATTGGGGGATCTATTGTTGCTGAGGGGATGGGTCTACTGCTAACCAGGGGGTCTTTTGTTGTATTGTTGCTGGCCTCTGGAGGGGATGTATTGTTACTGGGGGAGAGTGTTTTGTATTTGGGGGGTCTGTTGCTGCCAGTGAGGAGCTATTTTATCTGGGAGCTATTGTTGCTTGGTGGGGTATTTTGTTGCAGGGAATCCATGACTGCCGGGGAATCCAGTATTCCGGTGGGGGGGGGGGGGGGGGGGCTTTCTGTTGTTGCTGGGGGGGGGGGGGGGGGAGGGGTAGGATCTATTTGACTGCTTTTCTAGTTATTATTAATCAATTCTATAAAAATTACCTAGCAGCACCACAAATGGATACTTGGTTCTGTATCCTCTAAAAGGGGCAGTAATGGGAAGTGGATAGAGGTTGGAACCAAGAGTCGGTGCTCAGAGGTGGTTGGGGGAGGAGACCAGGGGTGACTCAGAAGGGGGGAGTACTTGCACCTATTGTCTGAAAACAAAAGCCTTGCAAATACCAAAATGCCTGATGGGCAGTGGGTGTTCCTAGGCAGGGTATATTTGCATGCGGACCGCCCTAGGTAACGCCCACTTATAATGCTGAGCCTTCATGATTAAAAGAACTGGAATTGAATTAAGGGAGCACACCGGAGGCAGTCATGCTGGGTTGTAAAGTGCTACATGGTGCTAGACATCCTCCAGCCAGGAAATGGGGCGGGTTCTGACTTGCTGCAGCTTCTAATGCACATTTTGAAAAGCTCGCAGTATGCAGTGAAATCAGAGTAAGCCATTTCAGTCCAGGAGTGGAGTCTGTACAATTGTGCAAGACTGAAGGAAAGATTTAAGGGGTATGTCCAGCCAAAATGTGCCAGTGCTGACCAATCAGAACTGTTCTGATCCATCCAGAAGTGTTGCAAAAAGAAGAGGGAGAAGAGCGGGGATTTCAGATTCCCAGGGTGCTACAGTGCCTGTGTGGCAATGGACAGCTCACATCTACAGAGGTACAGCAGGGACTGGGGGGGAGGCTATATGGTGTTAGTTCACCATTTCATTTTTTATGAACGGTTTACAGAAAAAAAGGAGTCTGTACAACTGTGCAAGACTAAATACAAAGCTGGAGTTCCACTCTGAGGAGAACAGGCTATTTTATCCCAGTAAAAAGACACATCTTGTATGTCTGTAGCGGTGCACTCAGTAATGGGAGGTATGAGAGGTAAGAGATTATTCCACTATACTTGTGAATTGTATGCTGTCTTGTTACAAAGCGAGCTCTGTACCCACCTCTGTAAGGCCAACATTCTTTCTCTTGATGACATTCTGCAGGCAGTTGCTGAGTGTTCGAGTCAGTAGTAAATTTGTGGATTTTCTGATCATATCGTCCACTTCTGTAGAGCTAAAATACGACAAATATAAAAGATTATATAAAGGCTTGACATCTCTAATCATACACATACAAGTACAAACACTTTACGTTTCAATTATTTTGTAAAGGTGCAGAAACTAAAAACTGAATAGGGAACAATTATCACTCTTTCCCTTTACATCAAGAGGCTGTTAAAGTGATATTAACCCCTTGACGCCGATGTCACACAAATATGTGGCCTCACAGAACTGGGCTTTTTTCCGTGGGGCCGCATATTTGCATACCTGTCTTTGTGCTGGGAGCGCACAGTGCTGAGGGTCCCGGGTCCCGTTCTAATGATCGGGACCCGAGACTCCCGATTCCGGGTCACATGATTGCTGTGATAACCTCTGATTGGCTAGGACAGTGATCAGTCACTGTACAGCCCGGCCCCCTGTTTTTTTTTCCTCTCTCTATGAATGGAGAAGAGAGATACATTGTATCTCTCCAACTCCTGGCATAGAGAGAAAAAAAATGTTGTAAAAAAAAAATTATATATATATATATATATATATATATATATATATATATACACATATATATACATAAGTAATTATTAAATAAAAAAAATAAAGAAAAAATACCAAGATAAAGTTTTGATCTAGTTCAGTGCCAGGGTTATTGTTTGGGTCAAGGTCAACGGTCAGGATTTAAAAAAAAAAAAAAAAATTGGTATCAGTGTCAGTTTGTGTCAATGTCAGTGTCAGAGTGTTTTAGGTAAAAAAAAAAAAAAAAAAAAAAAAAGACAAAAAACAAAATGCTCACTATTGGCTCTGGGCTGTACTACGGGTACAAATAACATACACATATATGGTATCACTGCGATCGTCAAGAGCTGGAGAATTTATTTTGGGTTGTTCTTTGGTGGTAAGTTATGAAAATGAAAGCCCAATTTGTCCTGAAAAAAATGCGGTATAAATTCACCTGGATTTACAAAGTAGTTGCGATGATCTGTACCATTTTACTAAACACATGTCAACTTTGCAAAATTGTGCTTAGGCATTTAGATTTGTTTTACCCTTAGGCATGAAGGGGTTAAAGGCAGAAAAAAACAAAAACAAAAATAAAACAAAACAAAAATAACAAACATATCATATTTACCTGCTCTGTGTAGTGGTTTTGCACAGAGCAGAACCAATCTTCCTCTTTTCGGGTACCACGCTGGCGCTCCTGGCTCCTCCCTCCTGCCAAGTGCCACCAGAGCAAGCTGCTTGCTATGGGGACACCCAAGCAGGCTTGCTCCTGAGCCGCTGCTCTACGTGTCCATTTACACACACAGAGCTGTGGCTTCGGCCCCAACCCCTCTCTCTCTCTCATTGGCTCACTAACTGTGACTGACAGTAGCAGAAGCCAATAGCTCCTGCTTTCGTGCACATCACTGGATCGCAACAGGGCTCAGGTATGTTTTAGGGGGTCTGGGGGACTGCTGCACACAAGTTTTTTACCTTCATACATAGAATGCAAAAAGGTAAAAAAAAATACTTCAGCCTTCAAAACCATTTTAAGTGGTCTGCAGACAGAATTAAATATTTGCTGCAATCAGGTGATGAAAATTAAAGTTGTCCATAGATAGATCCTCTCTTTTCTTTTTTTCTTTCAGCAGACTGAACAAAAAGAAAACAGATCCCTCCCATCCACACAAATGAGGTGGATGGAGGAATCCCCCCTGCCTGGACATTGTATTCTAACAGTGGGACTCTCCACTGTTAGAATACACTGATCAGCAGCTACAGCAGCCTATCGACACGTATGTACGGCAAGCTTCAATCTAACAATCGACTTCTGTTGAATGGGGATGGCTATACATGTGGCGATATTCGACTGGTTCCTGCTGAACCGGCCAAATAATGATCTGTCTATCACCAGCTTAAGACTGCCTGTGTATAGGAGGAGTTTTAATGGTTCCACATATGTACTATGACAGCTTACCTCTGCAGAGCCAGGCCGGAGCACCCTGGAGTTCCTATGTAAATATCAATTTTCCAATGGCTGGACATTTCATAGGTAACACTTCCTCCACTACCCATGTGGCAAAACTCTAACCTAGCAATAGGCTATTCAAGTACCAAAGACTGCACCCTGTGAGATGCGGGAGGAGGTGGATTTTCAATTTAAATAGTTGAAAGAGTGTAGAATTTTGTTTTTTGCCAACCAGTGTACTGTGGAATGCCCTGTTCATCAGCTCAGGTGTGTTCAAATCCTAGTCCAAACCCAACTAAGTGAGCCCGCCCTAAAATTGTCACCTGTACTGAGCCAATCATTGTCCGTCTAGGCACTCGACCAAGAGGTGTGTATATACAGGCGACCATGGGATGGATTGGCTTGGCCACTCAGGACAGGCAGTACAGCTATAGTTTCCTGGCAGGCTTGCTCTGTTGGGTTTGGACTAGGATCCGAACACGCCTCAGCTCATCCCTCATCCATAGGCACCCTATTTTAAAATTGATTGGAAGGGTTGCCATCTGTGATTTGTCTGCAGAGAAAATCTAGAGGCCTTCAGCTGCTATGCTGGACTTCTTGTGTGTGTCTATGCACCGAGGAGTGGGTTACCTGAAGGCGTACCTGCCCACAATCGATTCATTGCTATATTCCCATCCCTAAGATGGGATCTGTACCATATTTCACAGAGAAGCCTTCATGAACTGGGACTTTCACCATTTATTTGCGAATGTATGCAAATAAACCCTCTGTTTTTAATGCGTGAGAAGGAACTAAAGCAATGAAAAAGTCTTCCAACCAATTCATGTTTTATTCATCTCATCACATATCCCAAAAGCAAGCAGATTATTTCAGGAAGGTGAGGACAACCATGCAAATCATTCCTTTATGGCACATTGGTGAGATACACATCCAGGACCGCAGGTGTACTGCACAAATACAGCCTAGTAATATACCAGCCCTTTATTGCAGACTGCATAGATGTTTCAGACTATTTGGCCATCATCAGTTCAGCTATGGAAACCAAGGCTTCTATAAGTGAAGGTTCGGGTCCCAACAAGACATTATAACCATAGAGTTTATAGTTAGAAGGGGACTAAGGGAGTCAAGAAATCCCAGAGACTAAATCTGGCCATAGACTGTTAAAATCCTAACCGGTTCAGCAGAAATCGGCCGAGACTGAACAGATGTATGTATTGAAACCATTTATTGCAGACTGCATACAGATGTTTCAGACTATTTGGCCATCATCAGTTCAGCTATGGAAACCAAGGCTTCTATAAGTGAAGGTTCGGGACCCAACAAGACATTAAAACCATAGAGTTTATAGTTAGAATTGGACTAAGGGAGTCAAAAAATCCCGGAGACTAAATCTGGCCATAGACTGTTAAAATCCTAACCGGTTCAGCAGAAATCGGCCAAGGTTGAAACCATATATGGGTAGGCTGAATGTACCCAAGTGATTGATTGATCAACCCAGTACAGCCAGCCTGCCGGATTTAACATGTGATTATTACTAGAGGCTGATATAGTCGATAGAAATGATCCCTGTGTTCTACTAGAGTGGACGGCTTCCAACATCGGGAAAACACAATGATTCACCAGGGAGGTATTCCCGTCAACACTGTCTGTGTTGATTGGGGAATCAAGTACATTTTAATCCTGCAACCAATGTGTACAGGAAAGAAATTTGCACCGTCTGTGGCCTGCCTAAATCAGTGTGTAGAGTTCCAAGCTCCACTTCACAGAAGTGTAGGGCACTGGTCACGCAATTTTTGCTGAAGAGTCTAATGGAAGGATTTAAACACCATTCTTACAGGACCACACTCCAGTGTTAATGGACCTCCCAACCCTACCTTAGGCACCCTCTAAAAAAATCAACTATATATCCATCATTTTTCCAGGGTTCTTGTGGTCAGCCCAGTGATGTCATGGGTCCTTCTCCTTCCCTGGCAGTAAAGGTCCTTTCTCCTGTACTGAGCCTAGGCCAGAGCGATGACACCCCTCAAGGGGAAGACCCACGACAGCCTGAGCTTAGAGGCTGTGGGATAAATAACACTGGTCATCAGTTATCCCAGAAAACTGTTGAAACCTACTGACAGAGAGGATCTTCTGCAGGGGAGAGCTCCGGTTTAGAGCCGGTTCACACATATGTGAATTGGATGCATTTTGACTGACAGAGCGGCTATGAGACTTCAGTGGTCAAGTGATCACTATACTTTGGTTTCTTTACATATTATTTGTGGTTACCTGTAGTATAACTTAAAGTCCCATATCAGGTGAGTGTAGTAGTTGCTACATAGTGAACACAGGATCATCAAAACTGGATGTTGCGAGACTGGAAAAATAGACACCAGACTAAAGTTTGATACAACATATAGATGAAGGGTCCAGAATGTGCTATGCAAAGTTATTCATCCTTTCTTGTATTGGGGATGCAGGCTGGTGGCCCTTTTAGGTGCAGTAAATGTTTCCTTAGCACAGTAATATCAATTAAGCATCATTTAAACTCCATTTTGTTCATGGGTATAGTTTGTTTAGATGCTAGACAGAAGTACATAATTAAGTGACCACTAACTGCATTCCAATTGTGCGTTTTTAAGGATTTGGCTTGAGTTCCACTTTAACCACTTCCAGTCCGGACACTTTCACCCCCCTTCCTGTCCAGGCCAATTTTCACCTTTCAGCGCTATCACACTTTCAATGACAATTGCGCGGTCATGCAACACTGTACCCATATGAATTTTTTAGCATTTTTTTTTGAGACAGATAAAACTTTATTTTGGTGGTATTTATTCACCACTGGGACTTGTGGGGGGTGATGAAGATTTTTTTCTTTTTTTACACTGATTGTTTTTACACCCATAAAGGCTGTAAAAGCAATCATTTCTCCTCTTCTCTGGCTGCATTTCTGCAGCCATTGAGAAGTACTGTGAGAGCTGTGATTGTGATTGAGAAGTACTGTGAGAGCTGTGATTTTTTTTGCTATGTAAATGAAAATGTCCATAAATTTAGAAAAAAAGTGTTTTTCTTATAAAATTTTGCAAATAAATAATATTTCATCATAAATCTTGGCCAAAATTTATTCAGTTATCTTTTTAGTAAAAAAAAAATATGCCAAATTAGTTTATAACCAAAAATTATAATTTTTAAACATTTTTTCTTTTTACATTTTTATTTTATTTTTTTATATTATTTATGGGTTTTTTTTTTTTTTATACATACCATCACCCTAGCAGTACAGTGTCACCATGGTGACACTGTACTACTTGTGGGGGGTGATGAAGAGTTTTTTTTTTTTTTTTTTTTTTTTTACAGTGATTGCTTTTACACATATAGGATGTAAAAACAATCATTTCTCTTTCTCTCTGCCTGCATTCTTGCAGCCATTGTGAAATACTGTGTGAGCTGTGATTGGTCACAGCTTGTCACATGGTACAAGGTTGTTGTGAATAGCCTTGTATCATGTGACCTCTGTGATTATTCACAGAATTCACAAGTAGTAAGCAATTATGTCAGGACGTGACATTATTATTATTATACAGGATTTATATAGCGCCAAAAGTTTGCGCAGCGCTTTACAATATAAGGGGGACAGTACAATTACATGAATATGAGGGCCCGGCTCGTGGAGCTTACAATCTAAAGGAAGGGGGAGGTGATATAAAAGGTGATAACTGCTGGGGATGATCTTGTGACATCTTGTTTACTACTGTTCATGTGATCACTGATTGGCCTATCAGTGATCACATGAATCCGGACCTCCAGACACAGCGTGCACCGATCGCGGTGCCGTGCACTCCCAGGGAACGCGCACAGGCAATGGACACGGGAGGACGTTTAGAAACGTAAACCCAAATCGGCAGCACTCCCGTCCGGCCATTTATCTACATGGGCCAGATGGGAAGTGGTTCAAGAAAAAAAAAAAACACACAATCTCTACTCAGGAATAGAGGTCTGATTGCTGACCAAGATTAAAGGACTGCCATAATATGATGACTTGCAACAGCCAAAAAGAGTGACCTATGTATTCTGGTCTAAGGGCAGGTTCAGGAATTGTGATGGCGGGCTCGAAGTGCAAGCTATGCCAGTTATCCTGTAATTAGCTGAAGGGAGACAAGGCCATGAAAGTCACGTCATGCAGGACCCCTGACATTCACATAGAAATGGAATTCAGCTAAGTGTAATATCAATGAACGGAACTAAAGCCTGGCTAATGTAAGCCGCTTTGATCTGTCATCAGCCTTCCGCAAGGTCAGAAAAGGACAAGCGGGGTTATCTCCTGAGGCAGGGCCCGAGATGGAGGCAGCTTACTCCAATATCAGGCAGAGAGCCCCAGGGTCCTATGACCTTTTCACTCTTATCCTCCTGTAGCTGATAAACGCTGGAGATTAGCGGTCTGGACATGAACTGGGTAAATACAAGAAAGCCTAGCCACTTACCTGACACCATAACATAGGGGCTGATGGGATGGGTAGAAGTGTCAGAGGAAGATCAATAGAGACATCATGTTACACTGTGAAGACCCTGCTACTAATGCTATGGGCCAGACACAACCAGTAAGACAGCTGGAGATCTTTACCACCAGCTGTAATAATATATGAGGAGTGTGGCTACAGGGAAGCCCTGTGCGCATTTCAAGCTCATGTCAGTGTCCTGGAGCTGAGGCTGTGCTGCTTGAAACTGCTGCATGCTGCAATTAAAGCCCATTTTCATGTGAATCCCTCTCACCCCTATTAAACCCAACTTGCATGTTTTTTTTTCTTTTACCTTGTGAAGCAAAATACGATCACTGAAGTCTACTGCCCGGGCTCTTTGTCAGTGCAGTTTCCATAGTGTAGGGGTGGTACTGTCTGTGATACTTTAAAAATTTGCATTACCATCCAAATTTTGAGGACAAGTTTCGGGTTGTACCTCCTTCTTCAAGGTCCAAGGAAAAGGGGCTACACCCCAAAAGCTTGTCCTGAAAATTTAGTGCAAATAAGAAAAAAAAAAAAAAAATCATGGACAGTAATCTAGTGTTGGAGATGTGCCACAGCCAGTCCCCTACGTCCCCACATTCTATTGTCGCACCTCTTCTCGATCCTGAGAGGTCCCTGCTACTGGACAACCAATTGGAAGGGAACCACGTTATGCAGGCAGTGACACAAATACCCGAAGAAGGATCCCGCATCATATATAGAAGAGGAAAGAGTACGCAGGACTGAAGCCTCATATGGCCATTGACTTTAACCACTTCCCGTCTGGCCATTGAATATAAACGGCTGGACGGTGGGAGTGCAGGGGCGGGTGGCCATTTATTTATTTCAGGTACTTATATAGCGCCGTCAATTTCCGCAGCACTTCACATACATATTGTACATTCACCTCAGTCCCTAACCCTCAAGGGGTGTACAATCTAAGGTCCCTAACTTACATTCATACATATCCATACTAGGGACAATTTAGACAGGAGACAATTCACCTACCAGCATGTCTTTGGTTTATAAAGGAACCCTCCCTGCCCCTGCTTGTGCTCGCTCCCTGGGAGCGCGCAGCACCACGATCCGATGCCCGCTGTGTCCTCCGGACACAGTGGAACACCAATCATCGTACGGAACCTCTGTGTGAGGTCCGGATCATGTGATCACTGATTGGCCAATCAGTGATCACATGAATAGTAGTAAGCAAGATGTCACTTCTGACATCATTGCTTACTACATGTGAAATCTGTGAATGATCACAGAGGTCACATGGTACAAGGCTATTCACAACAGCCTTGTACCATGTGACAAGCTGTGACCAATCACAGCTCACACAGTATTTCTCAATGGCTGCAAGAATGCAACCAGAGAGAAGGAGAAATGATTGCTTTTACAGCTTTTATGGGGTGTAAAAGCAATCAGTGTGAAAAAAAAAAAAAAAAGAAAAAAAAAATCTTCAATCACCCCTCACAAGTAGTACAGTGTCACCATGGTGACACTGTACTGCTACAGTGACAGTATGCAGGAAAAAAAAAATAATCTAAAAAAAATAAAATAAAAATGTAAAAAAAAATTTTTCAAATTATAATTTTTGGTTATAAACTAATTTGGGTTATTTTTGTTACTAAAAAGATAACTGAATACAAGATTTATGATGAAATATTATTTATTTGCAAAATTTTATAAGAAAAACACTTTTTTTTCAAAATGTTTGGACATTTTCGTTTATATAGCAAAAAAAAAATAAAAATCCCAGTGGTGAATAAATACCACCAAAATAAAAGCTTTATCTGTCTCAAAAAAAAATGCTAAAAAATTCATATGGGTACAGTGTTGCATGACCGCGCAATTGTCATTCAAAGTGTGATAGCGCTGAGAGCTGAAAATTGGCCTGGGCAGGAAGGGGGGGTGGAAGTGTCCGGACTGGAAGTGGTTAAAGGATAAATTCACCTTTAGGAACATGTTACATGTCCTATTCCTGCAGCTCTCCCCCTGATCCTTCCCACTAAACCACATCTTCCCCCCGTTCCATGACAGCGGGTCGGGGATCTTCTCCCTGCACCCACTGTCACAATTTGAAAAGTGCGCTCCACCCACACGGGTGCATCATTCATTCACAGAGTTCTGTGAATGAATGCCTACAAGTACTGTCAACCATTACGGCTGATGGCTTGTAGTTCTCAATGAAATGGGGGGGCGCTGGTGAGTGCTCTCGCAGTCCATTGAGCTTCCTGGTTTACAGTAATTGTCTGCCCGTATCAGAGGCATGAGCAGACAGCTACACTGACAGTCTGCAGGAGCCAGACATTGCACCTGCAATCTACCGATCGTGGGTGCAATACTATACAGGATCCTCAGAAAAAAAATAGTTAATTGTTTTACCTGCAAAAAAATGTGCATTTATTGTTTTTTCATAAAAGTTGAACTTTCAAGTCTGCTTTCCATATGAGGCAGGGATAAGTATCCTGCAAGGGCACCATTGCCTTGTGCCTAAATTGCACCTGAAAGGCAAGGCTCACCTATACAAATCCATGACAACCGTATAGATTCTTTTACCTTAAATGTAAGTCCTCAGAGAACTTCAGACAGGCGTAGATAAATTCCTTGATTTGACTGTAGATTTTTGGCACAAATTCAGAAAAGGGAAATTTTCTTGGAAAGGGTTGCTGTAGAAAAAAGAGAATATCAGGTACTTGTATGCACTAGGGTGTTATCGTTCTTTCACATCTGGCTCATAGGATAAATGCACTTTCAATGAATGCCTGCTTTACATCAATTAATTGCTGTGTCCTTGTGGAGCCCCAGGCCCAGGCTATACACACAGCCTTGACTTTGCTCCAAGTGCTGCTCACACCTCACCTCCAGCACCTAACTGCAGGGAGTTTTTTCATCAGGAACGTGGAAGAACGCAGTTCCGGCACCTCCAGCACTGAATGTATGTAATGACAAGGGGTGCTGGGGTGTGTTGGAGGGTCTATTGATACTGGCTGCGGGGGGATCTATTGTCGCTGGAGGGGATACATTTTTGTGTGGGGGTGTATGGTTGCTGAGGAGGTCTACTGTTGTTGGTGTGGAATATATTGTTGCTGGGGGGGGGGAAGCAACTGTTTCTGGGAGGGATCTACTCTTGAGGGAGAAATCTATTGATGCTGGCTGTTGGGTGGTCTGTCATTGCTGCTGGGGGTATATTGTTGCTGGGGGGTATATTGCTGCCGGGGGGGGGTATATTGCTGCCGGGGGGTATATTGTGGCCGAGGGGTGGGGGGGGGTATATTGTTGCTGGAGGGTGGGGGGGGGGTATATTGTTGCTGGGGGGGTGGGGGGGTGGTGGGGGGTATATTGTCACTAGGGGGGGGTGGGGGGTATATTGTCGCTGGGGAGGGTGGGGGGGTATATTGTTGCTGGGGGGGTATATTGTTGCTGGGGGGTGTGGGGGGGTAATTTGTTGCTGGGGGGGTGGGTATATTGTTGCTGGGGGGGTGGGGGGGTATATTGTTGCTGGGGGGGTGGTGGGGGGTATATTGTCACTAGGGGGAGTGGGGGGTATATTGTCGCTGGTTATATTGTTGCTGGGGGGGGTTATATTGTTGCTGGGGGGGGTTATATTGTTGCTGGGGGGGGGGGTTATATTGTTGCTGGGGAGCATCTATTGTTGCTGAAAAAGGTGGGGGGGTGGGGGGGGGGGTATATTGTTGCTGGGGGGGGTGGGTATATTGTTGCTGGGGGGGTGTTGGGGGGTATATTGTCGCTGGGGGGGTATATTGTTGCTGGGGGGGGGTATATTGTTTCTGGGGTGGTGGTGGGGGGTATATTGTGGTGGGGGGTATATTGTGGCTGGGGGGGTGGGGGGGTATATTGTTGCTGGGGGGGGGGTGGGGGGGTATATTGTTGCTGGGGGGGGGGGGGGGGGTATATTGTTGCTGGGGGGGGTGGGGGGGTATATTGTTTGTTGGGGGGGGGGTGGGGGGGGTATATTGTTGCTGGGGGGGGGGTGGGGGGGTATATTGTTGCTGGGGGGGGGGGTGGGGGGGGTGGGGGGGGGGGGGGGGGGTATATTGTTGCTGGGGGGGGGGGGGGGTATATTGTTGGGGGGGGGGGGGGCTGGGGGGGTATATTGTTGCTGGGGGTGGGGGGGGGTATATTGTTGTGGGGGGGTATATTTGTTGCTGGGGGGGGGGGGGGTGGCTGGGGGGGTATATTGTTGCTGGGGGGGTATATTGTTGCTGGGGGGGGGTATATTGTTGCTGGGGGGGGGGGTGGGGGGGGTATATTGTTGCTGGGGTGGGGGGTATATTGTTGCTGGGGGGGGTGGGGGGGTATATTGTTGCTGGGGGGGGTATATTGTTGCTGGGGGGGGGTATATTGTTGCTGGGGGGGGTATATTGTTGCTGGGGGGGGGGTATATTGTTGCTGGGGGGGGGTGGGGGGGTATATTGTTTGGGGGGGGGTATATTGTTGCTGGGGGGTGGGGGGGGTATATTCTTGGGGAGCATCTATTGTTGCTGAAAAAGGTGGGGGGTGGGGGGGATATTGTTGCTGGGGGGGTGATGAGGGGGGATATATTGTTGCTGGAAAAGGTCTATTTTACTGCATTTCTTGTTATCAACAAATTCCATACAAATCATTTAGCACCATGAAATGATACTTGGCTCTGTATCTGCATCAAGGCATGGCATGGCACGGCACGGCACGGCACGGTACGGGGAGGTGGATAGGGGGCAGAGATAAGATGTGACTCGGAAGAGGGGAGTTCCTGTACCTATTCTCTATGAAAAAAGCCCTGCTTAACAGGCACATGTCACAGCATCTACTGTCTACTGGGATTCTGGCACTAGACTGCTGAACTGTGCAGTAGAAGAGTCAGCAACAGGAAGGCTTAGTGCCTACTTGGGAAGCAGATTGGGCCCATGGGACATCCAGGGATTAGTATCTAGAGCAGTGTTTCTCAACCTTTTTTCAGTCAAGGCACCCTTTAAAATTATAGATAATCTCAAGGCACCCTTTAAAATTCTGCACAATCTTAAGGCACCCCATTCTAAAATGTAAAAAACTATTCTACACACATGGTACACCCAACATTAGAGATGATCTTTTTCTTCCAAAGCAAATATACCTTTGCATACCGGTACTGATTAGTATTCCAGTGTGTGTCTCTCAGTTTCTCTCACTCAGTATTGTGACCCCGGTACTGATGGAGAGAGGCAGGGGAGGGGAAAAACAAGGATGATGTGCATGCACCCGATGTCCTCCTTATCAACTGATGATGTCATTGGTTGTTAGGATGCTGGCAGCTTGAAGGTCATAAAATTGCACAATGAAAACCTGTGGCTTTGCGTACTAAAAGGCAGGATTGATCCACCTGCTGGCTTATATACAATTTTTGGCCAATTTTTAGGCATTTTGCCAAGGCACCCCTGAAGAAGCCTAAAGGCACCCCAGGGTGCCTCGACACCCTGGTTGAAAAAGGCTGATCTAGAGAGAGACTGACTGGAATCCTAATACAGGTACTTGCAGGCATGAAAAAGTAGCTATACTTCATAGTTATTCTTACACGAGACGATTTAGTACCCAACAGGTTCCCTGTACCTTGCACAGCAGAAAGTATTCTTCCAATGGCCTGGCTTGTATGGAAACAATCAGGACCGCTGATAAGGGGGAAGTACGAGCCCCACTGTATGGGCAGACAAATGGGTAACCAGTTGAGTCCGGGGGGGGGGGGGGGGGGTTTAATTAGAGGAACTGATCCCCCTGCAGCTGAAAGCTCTGCCAACGGTTGGGAATTCTGGTAGCAGTCACCCATAGGCTTCCATAGCCCAACCAATGTCAGAGCTCCATCCTCTCCCCTGCAGCTGCTGACTGGGGGGGGTTTATTAGAGGAACTGATCCCCCTGCAGCTAAAAGCTCTGCCTCTCATCGGGATTCAGCTGCTGCAGGGAGAGACACACAGGGGATCGGTTCCTGTAATTGCGCCCCCGTCTGACCGCTCACCTTCACCTTCCCTATCCAGGGTTCGATTCGCCCTGCTGCTAACCAATATAGCGTATTCAAGGGGGGGGGGATGTCAGATTACACATACACTGGTGCTTCAACTTTTGCATAAGGAGAGGAGGCTGGGAAAGGTTTCTGTATCAGGTGGGCCACTTACTCACTAAAGGAAAGCCTGATGCGATTGCAGTCAGATGCATTTAATACAATTTATTTTTTTAATTGGCTGCTTAAAAAGTGTGTCAGTCTATCTCGGCTGTTTGTAGGCGGTAAGGGGATACATTCATTCTTCGCACAGCAGACTACAATGTAACACCATGGTCATGAAGAATTGAGTTTTGATTATATGTGATGGTCATCGGTTCCTGTTTTACCTTCTCTAGGTCAGGATCCTGGAAGGGGAACTGACCCAGAACCTTCCTATATCCCGTCTCATCACTCACAGGGATAGGGCTGTAGTTATCTGCATCCAGTATGTTCCTGTATACGCAAAAAAAAAACAAAACAAATGGTTATTTATACTGCGCTGCATCATTTATGTAATGAACCGATAATTACTAGCAGCAATAACTTTGCTCTTGCCAAACAATGGTTTAAAAGATTGTTGGTCCCAGTATTATTTGTTTTTTAGTCAACAGTTAAAGTCAAATTTCTGAAGAACACTAACTAGTCTTACAAATGTTCCCTCCCCCCCCTCCTAACACCTATGCTACCTAACCTGTGTAAAACAGATACATACTTATTTGCAGCCCGCTCTGGTCACATGATCCGGCTCCCCTGTGTCAGTCAGCAGTGGTTGCAGGAGAGAGGAGAGAGCGCTCGACAACGGTTGGGAATTCTGGTAGCGGTCACCCATAGGCTTCCATAGCCCAGCCATTGTCAGAGCTCCATCCTCTCCCCTGCAGCTGCTGCTGCTGACTGACATAGGGGAGGCAGATTGGACCAGAGCAGGCTGAAAATATGCAAATCTACACATTTCCTTTACACGGGTTTGTCAGCAAAGGTTCTAGAAGGGGGCAGTTTTAAATATAGTTAACCCCTTCATGATGGATGGTAATACAAATCGTAACAGGTGAACACAATTTTACAACTTTGACATGCGTTAGTAAAACTGTACATACCATCATAACTACTTTCTGTATCCAGGTGGATTATACCACATTTATTTCAGGACAAACTTGGCTTTCATTTGGTAGTAAACAGTATCCATTTTTTTCATGTTTTTTTTTTTATTATTGTTATTATTATTATTTTCATCATTAAAGGAAAACTGGTTCAAAATAGTAAAGAAAATTCCAATTGTCCATAGAAAGTAATAGAGGGAAAAAAATCTTCCAATGGGGACGCTAATTCTGGTGCCCTGGGGACTCCCCAAGAAATTCCCCTATATTGCTGGGATTTCTGCTCACTTCCTGTTTGGCTATGGGACAGGATGTGAAGGGACATCTCTGCAATGGGACAGAGATGGTGAAAAAAAAAAAATCTGACAGGTTATAACCCTTCCTTGCGCTTTCCAAAATTAAAAAAAAAAAAAAGGTTTGCCCATAGTTCTACTTTAACCTCTTCAAGCCACCCGAATGCAAATGTCCGGCCCCCCGGCATCTGGGCCTAGACGCTGAGCGCCCGCACATTTGCGTTCTATTAAAAAAGACCATATGTGCTGAGAGTGAGAGCCCTGTGCGCTCCCAGCACACATGTCCGGTACTCACGGAAAGGTCCCGATCTCCTCTGTCGATCGGGACCTTTCCCAATCATGTGACCGCCGTGACAGCGCGTCACATGACCCTAAACCCCACCCCGCACCCCAGCACACGTCTGGTACTCACGGAAAGGTCCCAATCTCCTCTTTCGATCGGGACCTTTCCCGATCATGTGACCGCCGTGACGACGCGTCACATGAACCTAAACCCCACCCCACCTTCCGAAACCCTAAAAGGATCGGGAAGCGCCGGCGCCAAGGGGTTAAATAGAGGCGTTTTTGCCTTGAAGTCAATAGGGGCCGTTTTTGCATGAAGTCAACAGGGGGCGTTTTTGCATCGGAGTCAACAGGGGGCGTTTTTGCATCGGAGTCAACAGGGGGCGTTTTTGCATCGGAGTCAACAGGGGGCGTTTTTGCATCGGAGTCAACAGGGGGCGTTTTTGCATCGGAGTCAACAGGGGGCGTTTTTTTGCATCGGAGGAGTCAACAGGGGGCGTTTTTGCATCGGAGGAGTCAACAGGGGGCGTTTTTGCATCGGAGGAGTCAACAGGGGGCGTTTTTTGCATCGGAGGAGTCAACAGGGGGCGTTTTTGCATCGGAGGAGTCAACAGGGGGCGTTTTTGCATCGGAGGAGTCAACAGGGGGCGTTTTTGCATCGGAGGAGTCAACAGGGGGCGTTTTTGCATCTGAGTCAACAGGGGGCGTTTTTGCATCTGAGTCAACAGGGGGCGTTTTTGCATCTGAGTCAACAGGGGGCGTTTTTGCATTGAAATCAATGGAACAGGATTTTGCATTGAAGTTTCTGTGAGCCGTGTGTGTGTGTCAAATCAGCTCACTGAGCTCTGCATAGTGTAACTTTAGCTCTCTGCCCACTTTTTTTTTTCTATTTTTTAACTCTCAGACAAGCTTATAAAAGCAGTACTTTGAACAGATGTAGAGAAGAGAATACTGAAGATAAACAGGTATAACTTATGTAGGAGAATTTGTTTCATCTCTGTGTATCACCAGTCACTTCACTGCGAATATGGAAGGGTTTAAAACCACCTTAATTTTCTTTCAGCAAAAGGGCTGCAGTAAAGCAATTTCAACGAACATGGAATTCTTTACTGAGCCTTTTGGCTCTGTACCTGGTTTCCTTCCCATCATTTAGTGGTACTTGGTAGGCACTGATAATGGTTGCTATGCACCCCTTTTAGCATTTTTGTAACCCCAGCTCTGCAGTTTACCCATGATGTCCCTTACCGAAAGATGTGTATTGCAACAGTACCCACCTGAAAACCAGCGCCCACTTCTTCAGCAAGATCTCGCTGTACTGATCTCTGACCTCCAGCAACATGTCAAACAACTGGTTCACTGGGAAGCCATAACCCTGTACATAACAAATCAAATGTCACTAGATAGAAATACACAGGAATATTAGCTAGGCTAGAGTTCTGCGGCAGGTCAGACATCCGTGGGTCACCTGCAATGTATGTTCTAAGCTGGGAGGAAGCAGGGCACAAAGAGAAACATGCCTTCTGCTCATATTACCAGCATAGCAGAAATTTCTAGCACTTTCTTGTAACTTAAAGCGGAGTTACACCTGAAAAAAATGAAGAAAAAAAAAAAGTAAGCAGCTACAAAAACTGTAGCTGCTGACCTTTAAAATACAACCACTTACCTGTCCCTCAATCCAGCGGTGTCCTCACCACCTCTGGTTTCACCGGACGTTTTCTCTCCCTGGCGCCGGCATCTTCAGTGTGGGCACCCGGCTGTGACAGCTTGTGGCTTCACAGCCGGGTGCCCACTGAGCATGTGTGTGAGAAGCGCTGCACTGTGTGAATGGTCCCATAGTCTTCTGGGACCTGTCACGTGTCCCAGAAGACTACGGGGGGAGGGGGGCAAGTTCCGCTTCCGACTGCCTAGGCCAGGGGTAGGCAACCTGTGGCTCTCCAGCTGTTGTGGAACTACATTTCCCATGAGGCATTGCAAAGATTACAAAACTGACAGTTACAGCTATGACTTGCAGAGGCATGATGGAACTTGTAGTCCTATGGGTCTCAGGTTGCCTACCCCTGGCCTAGGTGATCACAGTGGAAGTGGTAAAGGGTACTTGTCAAATTTGGGTACCCACTCCCCCAAGGTGCCAATCCTTAATGGGGAGCGGGGGACAAAGGCTTAAAGCGGAACGTCCCCTTTTGAGTGGAGCAACGCTTTAACTTTTAAGCAGTCTTTTCACACCTGCAAATGCACCCGTACTCTGACCCCCCAGTGGCGGTTCCTTCGATTAGCTGTGGGAGGTATCCCTGTTGAAACCAAAGGGCTGTCAGGTTCTGCAGCTAATCGCAGCCATTTGTATGTAATCTCTCATGCAGCGATCGCATGCAAGTGTTCGACCCTAAATACAAACCAGTTAATCACGGGAATGCCCGCTGGGGTTCTTGAATCTAAATGGACTGTGGGTGTGAATGTACGCCAAGAGTCATTTGTAACGCAGCAACTGTCTCTGTCAGTTATATCTAACTTGTCTTCTGTGTTCTGCCATAGCTGGGGCAACCATCTTTTGCTTACTATGGCTTACTACTGCATGCTCGTCCTAGAGACAGCCACGAACCTAACAATTTTTTGAAGGTCAGTGATGGCAGCTTCTAAATTTCCCTCAGTAGAGGTTTCCTTTGAAGAGAAATCATTTTTTTTTACTTGTTCATTGAGGGGCACAGGAAGTCTAAAAGGATAAGTTCACCTTCTGGCAAAAAAATTATAAATGCACATTTTTGTGGGGGAAAAAAAACATTTTTATTATTTTTGCCCTAAGGAGCCTGGAAAGCATTGCAGTGATCAGTGGATCAGGCTCCTGCAGGTAAGTCCTGCAGCTTTCAGGTCATACCTGCACATGGGCTTACTGTTTACAAGATGCAGGGCTTGTGAATGAAATCCGAGGCAGCTCATACAGCAGACCATTCAGAACTACAAGCGGTCAGCTGCAAAGGCTGCCATTACTTGTAGTTCAGGTCATGCGCAGGAAACTGTGATCGAATTATGTGGTCGGAGCCCGGCACGGCTGCAGTATTTTCAAACAGTGACAGCGGGTGGCGGGAGAAGATCCCTAATCGCTGTCACTGCAAGGAGGGGGCTGGAACAGGTTACAAGTTCCACTCTAAATATGGGTAGAACATGTAACATGTTCCAAAATGTGAACTGATCCTATAAACCTTTGAGTACCGCCCCTACAGGAGAACTGGACACTACCAAACACAACATTGTAAAGCCAGCCACGGATAACCCTTCCTACTGCTAGCACACCTCGTTTTTTTTTATAGTATGTTAGGAAGATGGATATCTTTTCTCCAGTTCTGTTACAGACTAACATTTCTTTGCTAGCATCTTTTTTTGTTCTTCAAGTTTTTGTTAATCTGTGAAGGTGGCATCCTAGGGCTGCAAACTTGAGTTTTCTCCCTGCTCTATACTTGGTTTCTCACCTCTAACCATAATGTGTCACAAAAAAGATTAGCAGATCTCCACCAAGACCTCTCCAGTCTTTTGGATCAAGGTGTCATTTCCCCAATTTCTGCGACAATATGGTTCCACGTGTTTAAATCCAATCTGTTCGTTGTTCCCAAGCTTAAAAAGGGCATTCACCTCATTCTGATTCTCTGATCTGAATGTATTCATTACAGTCCAAAAATGTAACACAGGATCCACCAAATCTGTAGCCTCCATTCACAAAGATGATTGGCCATCAAAGATGCTTACCTATGTATCCTCCCAACCAGTCTAAGCTGATAAATGGACTACAGAAATAGCCATAGACCTTTCCCCAAAGGATTGGTCAGAGATTTGGCAGACAACACATTTCTCCAAGTGTTGTTTCTTTGGAGACTTCTTATAAAGTCCTATTCCGCTGTTATCTAGTGCCTCATAGGATAGCTAAATATGTCCGGGGCTACCCATCTGCCTGTTTTCAGGGTTGCAGGCCGCCTGGCACATATCTACAAACATGGTGGTCCTGTCCCATTGTACAGTCCTATTGAGGAGACATTTTTTCCATCCTGTCTTCATTATTTGATAAATCCATTTCTCCCAATTCACAAATAGCCCTGTTGAACTTTAATCCCTTGGAGCTGGCCAGGAACCAATGCTGCCTCCTCTTCTTCATCACTACTACTGCAAAGCAGACAATAGCCGAAGCCTGGAAGACACCCGTACTTAGAGTGGTCGCTATGAAAAAGAGTCACTCAGGTGATGATACATGCCAACACAGAGGCAACACTCCAGGACAAGGTGAGATGATGCACCAAAATCTGGGAACCTTGGGTCAATAGATTTTTGCCCCCTAATTTTGACACTTCCCTCATGGAGCCTTAGCTGTCCTGTTAACCTCTTCGGTTGACTGTGCTCTTGGGACCATGGCCAGTTCAATCCCAGAATCATTCCTTTCCTTTTACCCTTCCCCCACCTACTTCTCTGTTTCTTTTGTTTATCAGTGCATTGCTGGATAATTCGCTGGCTTTGCTTGGTTCTAGTTCTCCCCCAGGCCGTGGCTGAGGTGGGCCATCCAATCCTCATCTATCTTTTCCTACCTCTATTCTAGCTATCAGGATGTTAAATGCTATCATTTGATGGACTATATTTGTTCAGAAGTCGATTGGCCTATTGTGTTCAGTAATCGCTTGTTTTGACATGCTGATGGCACTTGAAAATGTACCTCTCCCTGCATGGAAGCATTCTTTATTTATGATAGCTGTTATGGTACACATGTGATGGCTTTTGTGCTACTCCATTCAATAGAATATTTCAATACAAAAGATGCTTACCCACAGATGCCTACTTTTCAAGAGCATCAGCAATTCCTACACATTGCTCTGGAGGACCCTGCACTACCAGTTTGTGGCCCTGCCCTTCGGCCTTTTTTCTGCACCTTGGGAATTCACCAATATTTTAGCCCTAGTCATGCTCCCAAAGAATCCTTTTAGTGAGATATTTGGACAGCCACCTGTTTTTTGTTACTGGTTTCTCTGGGATTCATGTCACTGTTCTTTGTAGTAAAATACTGTATATCTTAAGCCTTTTTTTTCTGTTACATTTAGACTTCAGTTTTTGTTTGGAATTTGTGTCCAATTGGGGAAGGTTTCATTTCCTATACATACACTTGAAAGTTAGAGGTTGTTCCCTCCAGGTTGTTAAAACGTTTTGGCTTTAAAGTCACATTAAATTAAGGTTTATGAGTGCCACTTACCTGCAATGTGTCAGCAAAATGCACAATAAGATTCTTGAGGTCCAGAACAAGGTTGGGATCAGAACAATATGACTAAAAAAAAAAAAAAAAAAAAAAGACAGGTTGATAGCATACGAAGTCAGCCATAAACACTACCACCACAGTTTTATAATGCTTTGCACTTCTTCCTTGCTGTATTAGAATTGTACTGGAATGGAAACATGGCAAAGCAACGTAATGCTTTGAGTAAATGAAGCTTATTTCTAGGATGGGTTAGAAAAGGGAAGAATTCAATTGGCTGTTTTGGTAATTCTACCCATTTTTGTTTCCAGGTATTTAGTTCATGAGGCCCCGTGTTTCGGAAGATTCAGCACTTTTCACAAGGTGTGTTCTATTTAAAGTGAACCTGTAGCAAGGCCATGAACATTGTATTTACACATTCTTAATGAGCAGCAAATAATCTTTAATGTTGACCTGAACATTAGAGTGAAAATTTGCTATATTATAGGTGCTTTAAGCAGCACCCTGAAATATTTCACTTTGTTGCGAATTCCTGATGAAAAATAGCTGCGCACTTCATCTGCCTACAGCATCATAGCTATATATCTGCAGTATGAGATCTAAGGTACTGCTACCTCAGACTGCTAGCCTCACCTAGTCTGCAAGCCTGGTCAGGTCACAGCACTCTTAAAGGAGAGAGCTGCATCTGGAGGACCTACATTGTAAAGATCTCCAGGAAAAAAATCTGCTCCTGAGGATCTGCAACATAAGAACGTCTCGGAGAGAAAGCTGTATCTGGAGAACATGCAATGTGAGGATCTCCTGGAAAGAAAGCTGCACCTGAGGACCTGTAATGTGATAATCTCCCAGAGAGAAAGCTGCACCTGAGGACCTGCAAAGTAAGGATCTCTTGGAGAATGTTGCACCTGAACACCTGCGATGTAAGGATCTACTGGAGAGGAAACTGCACCTGAGGACCTGTAAAGTGAGGATCTCCCAGAGAGAAAGTTACTACTGCAGGACTTGCAATGTGAGGATCTCCTAGAAAGAAAGCTGCAGCTGGGGATCTGCAATGGAAGGATCTCCTGGGGAGAAAGATGCACCTGAAGACCTGTGATATGAGGATCTCCCAAAGAGGAAGCTGAAGCTGGAGACCTGCAATGGAGAGATCTCCCAGAGTGAAAGTTACTTCTGGGGGACTTGCAATGTAAGGATATCCTAAAGAGAAAGTTACACCTGAGGACCTGTAATGGAACAATCTCCCTGACAGAAAGCTGCTTCTGGAGGACTTGAAATGTGGAGATCTCCCTGCCTCGGCTTTATTCATTCTGTGGATGCATGTTTTCTGCGCCTCTCTGCTCTTCTAAGATAGCCAGTTCAACTCAGACACAGTTTAGAAGAATGCATTGTAAGTCAATATTGGGGAAAAGATCAGTTGCACTGAGACCAAAGGAAATACTGGCAACTAATCCTTTGCTCTCTATTTTCCTTTTACGGGCACAGCTTAGGTCCTCTTTGAAACATGTCCTCACTGACTCGCATTTTCCTGCATGTAGAAGTGACTGGGTGGCTTTACAGCCACCTGAATCACATCTACAATGTAGCCGCCAGCCAGTTGTTGCTTCTGATGTAATAGGTAATGTAGCGTCAGCTGCAGCAAAAGGGTTTCGATGGCATAGGATCACCTTTTATAAATACATAAACGCTTCATACACTAAACTTGCTAACTTTAATAAAGAAATCCACATAGCAAAAGTGCTGCTCACCCCAACATACATATCAGAAAAGAAGTCAATTTCTATTGAGGGCTTTAATGCAGCGCTCTAAAGTGTATATTTACACACGGACTGAATATCAGAATTCTGTGGCTCCTTCCGGGAGTGCACTTGATGTCATCACGCCGTGCTGTTTGTGGTAGAAGTGGCAGCAGAGGCTAGTGGGAAGGGAATCCCTCCAAAAACACTGGGGAAACCATGCAGATGGCGCCAGTGCATAGAGTGGATGGGGGAATTAGCAGCACCTGTGGATGGACAACGTGTTACTTATGTGGGCAGCACAGTGGCTAAATGATTAGCACTTCCGTCTGGCAGTACTAGGGTTGTTGGTCCAAATCCCAACCACGGCACCACCTGCCTGGAGTTTGCATGTTCTCCCTGTGCATGCGTGGGTTTCCTCTGGGTACTCCGGTTTCATCCCACACTCCAAAGACATGCTGGTAGGTGAATTAGCTCCTGTCTAAATTGTCCCTAGTATGTGTATGTATGAATGTGAGTTAGGGACCTTAGATTGTACACCCCTTGAGGGTTAGGGAATGATGCAAATGTACTATATATATATATATATATATATATATATATATATATATATATATATATATATATGTGTAAAGTGCTGCGTAAACTGACGGCGCTATATAAGTACCTGAAAAAAAAATAAAATTACGTTAAAAAAAAGGGGTGGGAGACCTCCTGATATATATGTGGCATTGTTGATCAGTGGGCTCTACTCCTTGGGCTGCAGGGTCCAAGCATAGGAATCTATGATGTGTGAATAGGCAGTCAGGGGAAGTAACAATCCTCCCGAAGTCATACCATTTCCTATACTTGATTAGGAGCCTCTTCACTATACAATTTCCTTTTTGATCTTACATTTCCAGGCTTCTCAGTGGGATTTTTCTCAGAGAGGTACAAACTTTAGATGTGAATTTTGAACAAAATAGGCTGGGAATTCCTCTTCCTTTGAATATTCCTCTAAATAGGCGACTGCTTTTCCAAAAAGTTTTTGAGGTAATTAAACTACAATTTTTTATTTCCGAGTATTGAGCCAGTAAATGTTTGTTAGCGGTTTATTAACTTTTAGCAATATGCCCATGCTTCCTTTGGGGGAAAATAATTCACTCTTTGTTCTTTCCAACATTTTACATTGGGAATCTATACGATACATTATAGGTGCGTGGTTCCTCCACCTCTCTGATATACACATATATACAAGGCCTCTTGGGGCCCCAGATAATGTGTCCTTCCTTCTTCATACTCCTGTTGGCCATGGAAAATTCTTGGAACTTTTAAATTGCTCTGTTTTTTTGTGCATTTCTTTTCCCCTTTTAGAAGGTAATTTTATTTTGATTATGTACAGCATGTAAAAAGATGTTATGTAATGACTGGAGCCAGGGCAATATTCTGTTATGTATTTTCAATCTAGATGTCCTTAAAAAAAAAAAAAACCTTGAAGAAAATTGTGACATTGGCGTACAAGTTGGGGTCCTTCCTGGCAGGACTACTATTATTATACAGGATTTATTATTATTATACAGGATTTATTATTATTATTCAGGATTTATTATTATTATACAGGATTTATATTATTATTATTATACAGGATTTATAATTATTATTATGATTATTATTATACAGGATTTATAGATTATTATACAGGATTTATATATTATAATACAGGATTTATTATGATTATTATACAGGATTTATTATGATTATTATTATACAGGATTTATTATTATTATTATTATTCAGGATTTATTATTATTATTATACAGGATTTATTATTATTATTATTATTATTCAGGATTTATTATTATTATTATACAGGATTTATTATTATTATTATACAGGATTTATTATTATTATTATTATTATACAGGATTTATATAGCGCCAACAGTTTGCTCAGCGCTTTACAATATAACGGGAGACAATACAGCAACAATACAGTTCAATACAAGAGGGTTAGGAGGGCCCTGATCCTTGGAGCTTACAATCTAAGATCTTGGAAATTCCTTTGTATACTATGATAATTACCTGCCAGTGCTAAGGATATCACTAACTATATAAGGAGGATAGATTAATACCAGAGCTCATATTTTAAATCATATGGGTTTTAATTTTTGGTAACAAAAAGTTTCTTTGAACTTTATGATATTCAGTCTGTGTATTAATATGCACTTTACAGGGCTGAATTAAAGCCCTTAGGAGAAACTGATTTCCTTTTTGGTATGAGTTGCTCACTTTAAACCTGGAGAAGAAAAAAAAAGTATAATCTCTGCATCTGGAAAGAGGTCTTTACAGTAAGAGCTGTAAAAATGTGGAATAGTTTAGTTTTGCCTATCTCAGTAGACTGTTTCCAAAAAGGTATTTCTACTTTCCCATAATGTAAATGGCAACAACTATTTATAAGAATCTGGAAGAATGTTGATCCAGGAAGATGTGCAAATTTTAATATCTACAAAACAGTACATTAAGTGAACTTTAAATTCAGAAATCAATTACCGAATGTGTTCGCAAAGCTGCCATGGTCTTTGACAGTGCCAAGTCCCAGAGCTCATCAATGTACGCCCGATTCACCAATCCGACTGTTGTGTGTAGGATGTGATCTTCCACCACAAAGAATCTGACAGACAGTGAAACAAGAAATGCAAATATTTGAGGACAATTAGCCTGAAGAGAGAGCTTCCTTCTCACTGCTTCTATAAAGTGCACATTGTATATAATGCACGTTTCAGTGCTTTTCATTATTTTGTTTACAGCATGATTTTGTTCAATAAAGGGCAAACATTTACAGCCTGGATTTATCAGTGACTTTTATCCACTCATTTAGGAAAGCTGGAGAAACAGTGACAGAGCTGCCCAACCTATTCATCTCATTCACAGAAAAATGAAACAACATATTTAGTTGCAATGGGCCACGATTCCTATCCTACTCAAACAGTCCCAGCTGCAGGATGGAATCCTTTGATAAGAAAATCCTACCAAAAAGTAATATTTCGGCTTGTGACAGGCACAGGGTGTTCAACTGGAATTGCAGGGATGTCAACTTCTGGACAGGGTAGTCTTAGGACTGCATTTACATGAACATCTTGCTTTTGTTCTATTGCAGCAGAAGATACTCTATGAAGAAGAAACGTTACACTTTCCAGACTGAATTCTAATTTGTTTAAAGTGTTACTAAACCCGGACCCTGCATTCACTATATCCGGTCTCCCCGGACCCTGCATTCACTATATCCGGTCTCCCCGGACCCTGCATTCACTATATCCGGTCTCCCCGGACCCTGCATTCACTATATCCGGTCTCCCCAGACCCTGCATTCACTATATCCGGTCTCCCGGACCCTGCATTCACTATATCCGGTCTCCCGGACCCTGCATTCACTATATCCGGTCTCCCGGACCCTGCATTCACTATATCCGGTCTCCCGGACCCTGCATTCACTATATCCGGTCTCCCGGACCCTGCTCTCCCCGGACCCTGCATTCACTATATCCGCTCTCCCCGGACCCTGCATTCACTATATCCGCTCTCCCCGGACCCTGCATTCACTATATCCGGTCTCCCCAGACCCTGCATTCACTATATCCGGTCTCCCCAGACCCTGCATTCACTATATCCGGTCTCCCCAGACCCTGCATTCACTATATCCGGTCTCCCCAGACCCTGCATTCACTATATCCGGTCTCCCCAGACCCTGCATTCACTATATCCGGTCTCCCCAGACCCTGCATTCACTATATCCGGTCTCCCCAGACCCTGCATTCACTATATCCGGTCTCCCCAGACCCTGCATTCACTATATCTGGTCTCCCCAGACCCTGCATTCACTATATCTGGTCTCCCCAGACCCTGCATTCACTATATCTGGTCTCCCCAGACCCTGCATTCACTATATCTGGTCTCCCCAGACCCTGCATTCACTATATCTGGTCTCCCCAGACCCTGCATTCACTATATCCGGTCTCCCCGGACCCTGCATTCACTATATCCGCTCTCCCCGGACCCCGCATTCACTATATCCACTCTCAACAGACCCCGAATTCACTATATCCGCTCTCCCTAGACCCTGCATTCACTATATCCGGTCTCCCAGGACCCTGCATTCACTATATCAGGTCTCCCTGGACCCTGCATTCACTATATCAGGTCTCCCTGGACCCTGCATTCACTATATCAGGTCTCCCCGGACCCTGCATTCACTATATCAGGTCTCCCCGGACCCTGCATTCACTATATCCGGTCTCCCCGGACCCTGCATTCACTATATCCGGTCTCCCCGGACCCTGCATTCACTATATCCGGTCTCCCCGGACCCTGCATTCACTATATCCGGTCTCCCCCGGACCCTGCATTCACTATATCCGGTCTCCCCGGACCCTGCATTCACTATATCCGGTCTCCCCGGACCCTGCATTCACTATATCCGGTCTCCCCGGACCCTGCATTCACTATATCTGGTCTCCCCGGACCCTGCATTCACTATATCTGGTCTCCCCGGACCCTGCATTCACTATATCTGGTCTCCCATAGTGGACAGAACATGGAAATGAAATTATTTGAATAAATATAAACTGCTAAATACCTTTTCTCATCAGCAGTATATAGCAGTCTTGTGATTTCTATCAGTGTCCAGCCGAGCACGTTAAAGCTTGTATTAGGAGTTTTCATTCTGCTCTGGGAGGATGCAGAACCTCTGACCTCTGCCTGGACAGTGCTGATTGGCCCTGTGCTGATCACATTCACTCTCCCAAAAAAAAAAAAAACCTCTCTAGCAATACACACCAATCTGAGCATGTGCAGATTGACGACACAATATTTCTTATCAGGAGATAAGAGGGGGAACACTGGAGGAAGGGAAGGATCAGAGAAAACAGGATCAAACAGCCTTTTTATACAATGCGGAGGATTAACCCCTTAGGTCCCACAGTGAGTATAACAAGCATGCTTTACTGCATATACAGACTGATTGTACTGTTGTGGGTTTAGTAACACTTTAAGTGTTCTTGCACTGATGTGTTCAAAGTACCTAATTCGCCCAGCCAGCCAGATTTAATTTTTTTTCCTAATTAATGCTACATTGATGACGTCAGTGTCGCATGCGTAGTACGCTTTGCATTCAGGGTACGCTAAGTGTGCAGTGATTGCAGAGAGCTCTGTGCTGTGATGGTGACTCTTCTCTGCATGCACAGGAGTGACCCCTTTGCGGCCTTGGCCATTCAAACGGCTTGAGAGCGTGAACCCAGAAAAAAGACCGGGAGTGGTGAAAGCGCAAGGCTGGAGGGTTCCTCTGAAAGGTAAGTGTGTCTTAATGTGATAGTATGCGGCCCACACTAATACATTATGCCACAAGTATGCATGGGGCCCATTTAAAAAAAAAAAAATCTTTTATAGAGCTTTTTTTACAGCCAAAAGCCAGCCATACATGAGTCGAATTCCGAAATAATTTCTTTTGAAAATCTTTTGTAAGAATTTTCGTTCGAATTTCGCACCATTAGCGAGCCACATCAACGACCGATTTTCGAGCGACCATCAAATCTGAATCACTGGGCATGATGGAAATTTTTTGAAAAACTAACAAATTTCTAATCAATGATGGAAGAATCATGCAGGAAATGCACTTGAAAAAGAAATGAGCAAGAGCTGGGACCTGGAAAGAACAAAAAGCTCTTGGCCACAAAAATTATTTTCTTTAGCAACATGAGGGTGAAATTAATCACTTCAGGTCCGGACACTTTCACCCCCTTCCTGTCCAGGCCAATTTTCAGCTTTCAGTGCTATCACACTTTGAATGACAATTGCGCGGTCATGCAACACTGTACCCATATGAATTTTTTACCTTTTTTTTTTTTGAGACAGATAAAGCTTTATTTTGGTGGTATTTATTCACCACTGGGATTTTTATTTTTTTTGCTATATAAATGAAAAAGTCCCAAAATTTTGAAAAAAAGTGTTTTTTCCTTTAAAATTTTGCAATTAAATAATATTTCATCACAAATCTTGGCCAAAATTTATTTGGTTATCTTTTTAGTATAAAAAAACAAAACAAATTAGTTTATAACCAAAAATTATAATTTTTAAACATTTTTTTTTACATTTTTATATTATTATTTATGGGGTTTTTTTTGTGTTTTTTTTTACATCCTGTCACCCTAGTAGTACAGTGTCACCATGGTGACACTGTACTACTTGTGGGGGGTGATGAAGATTTTTTTTTTTTTTTTTTTTTTTTTTTACACAGATTGCTTTTACACCCATAAAGGCTGTAAAATAAATAACTTCTTCTCTCTGGCTGCATTCCTGCCATTGATAAATACTGTGTGAGCTGTGATTGGTCACAGCTTGTCACATGGTACAAGGCTGTTGTGAATAGCCCTGTACCATGTGACCTCTGTGATCATTCACAGATTTCACATGTAGTAAGCAATGATGTCAGAAGAGACATCTTGCTTACTACTCTGCATGTGATCACTGATTGGTCAATCAGTGATCATATGATCGGGACCTCACACAACGTACGACGATCGGTGTTCCGTTGTGTATGGAAGAGTCTCCCAGGGAGCGCGCACAAGCAGGAGGCGGGGAGGCCGTTTATAAACGGCCACCCGCCCCTACACTGCCACTATCCGGCCGTTTATATACAACGGCCGGACGGGAGGTGATTAAAGGCTTGGTTGGTCGAATTTAGAAATCACTAGTGGCACCATCGGACTACAAAATGCACGAAATTTCCGTTTTTCTAAAGAAAATTTGTTTGGAATTCGACCCATGTATGGCTGCATTTGGCTTTGAAAATCACAGATAGAAAATGATTGGTTGCCATGCACAGCTGCTCCCGTTTTGAAAGCGTCTCCTCAACATGCATTATACCATTTAAAATCATTACATGCATTTATATGTATATAGGGCTTGCTCACACCAGGTGCACTGAGTAACATCGATCAGCATTGACCAATGCATGCTCAACCAAAGGGCACAGCGGAAACAATTGTTTTTGTATGTATACTGTTCACACCATACAGGTGAGCTGATGGAACAGCCTCCACTCATTTGCAAAAGTTTTCCAAACATTTTTGTCTGTGGAAATTTGTGCCCATTTAGCCAAAGAAAAAAAAAAAAGCATTTGTGACGGCAGATACTGATGTTGGATGAGATGACCTGGATAGCAATTGGCATTTAAAAGAGAAGTTTGGGATTTTTTTTTAAATTATACTTACCTAGGTGGATGCAGCATTGATTCAATGCTGCATCTGTCCTGCACTGGCTCTAAGGGTGAGAACTGAGCATTCAAACACCACTGATCGCTCAGTTCTCTCCCTGAAACTCTGAGCAGAGGGCGATGGCTGCCCCCTGCTGCTCACTGGAACACTGGGCTGTGGAGGAGGCGGGATTGCCTGGCTCAGGCTCTCAGCGCATCACAGAATGTAGGAAGGTGCCAGTCCAGGCTCCTGGGTAGATCCAGACCATACAGTCGCCATCTTTCCCCAGTCTGGACCAGCTCTGTGACATCAGCCAACAGTGGACTTTAGCGAACTGCGCTCCTGGGGTCCTGTGGCTGTAGTGCTCCTTTAAGTTAAATTTTGCTGTGAATGACCCCCTCTTGCCAAAACAGGGGTGCAACATTTTCCATAATGATCCTAAGGGCTCATGTAAACGGGGTGTTTGGAAAACTCTTCTGAACGATGGAAACTGACTGCTGGAAAACGTAGGTAAAAAAACGCCAGTTTATCTGCGTTCGCATACCGCGTTTACAGTTGTTTGCGTTCAGAAGAGTTTTTAAAAGATAACCTCAGGAGACGTTCCCAAATGCCCAGAATGCACTGAAAAATAATAAATAAATAACTATTTCAGAAAATTTTGAGAGGAATAGAGAGAGCAGCAGCAGGGAGAGCAGTATGTGTTGAGATGACCTGTCTTTTCTGTTGTATTCATTATGGATCCCATCATGATGCAGCACGTTCTGCCATTTTTTCCTTCACGTAAAACCTGGAACTGACTGCGCTGGTGTACCGGGTCCATTTGAATACATGGAAAACGCTTTGCATGCATTTCTGATGATGTAAAAAGGCTCTGGACAGCATCTGGATATGGAACAGTTAAAAAACGCATCTAAACACAAACGCTTATAAATGCGGTTAACTGCATTTACAAGCGTTTAGCATTTGAAACGCCGGTAAAATCTACTCCTGAACTCAAGTTTGGTGCATAAAAAAAAAAAAAGACTGTAAACTCAACTGCCTGTAAATGACGATGTGTACATGGACACATAGGGAAACATTAGGGAGAGTTCAGGGGCTGCTGAAAAAAACGCTGAACAGCTACTCAACGTGAGTTTATCAGATGCAGTGTACATGGAGCCCTTATCCTAGGTGCACATATGTGAGGGTGGTGCCGCTGCAGATCCGCATGAAAATACATGTAGCAGCACCACCAGCAGAGGAATGCGGACCCACGGGCGGGTGCCATTAGCTCTAATGGCACGCCACCCGCACTGGAAAACGCAACCGTACTGGGAACTGAGGTTCCCGTGGGGAATGTGTTTTCAAAAGAAGTACAGAGACTTCTTCCCTGCGTGTCACAGGCACAGGAGTCCATTCAAATGAATGGGCCTGCACGGCCGCATATATGTATATATACATATATGATGGGCAGCACAGTGGCTAATTGGTTAGCACTTCCGCCTGGCAGTACTAGGGTCGTTGGTTCGAATCCCAGCCACGGCACCTCCTGCCTGGAGTTTGCATGTTCTCCCTGTGACTGCGTGGGTTTCCTTCCACACTCCAAAGACATGCTGGTAGGTTAATTGGATCCTCTCTAAATTATCCCTAGTATGTGTATGTATGAATGTGAGTTAGGGACCTTAGATTGTACACCCCTTGAGGGTTAGAGAATGATGTGAATGTACAATATATATGTAAAGTGCTGCGTAAATTGACGGCGCTATATAAATATCTGTAATAAATAAATATGTGAACCCGGGGTAAAGGGGTTCAGTAGAGTTGAGGTCAGCTCTCTGCACAGGCCCCTCGAGTTCCTTCACACCAAACTCCTGACATGTCTTTAACCTCCTCGGCGGTCTGATTATTTCAGATTTTTGGTGCTGAAAGCGGTACCATTATTTTCCATGGAAATATGTATTTTTTTTATTGTAGGCTGTAATTTTTAGGAATAACTCACTGAAATCTGTCCGAACAAGAGTAGTAAACATCCCGGGTATGATAAAATGTGAAACACGAAATCATAAATTATAATTTAATAAATAATCATAAAAAATAATAATATAATAATACATTTAATTCAATAATATAATCAAACCAAAAACACTGAAATGTGAAATAGAGCGCCAAGTTCGCACATCGCTGAGCAAAGTCGCAGAATCGTTTTCAGTGTCTGATGACGAATTTCCCCCACCAATCATTATCACTCAATTCTGCAAGTGGTTCTGATTTACTATCGCTGTTCTCTAG